CTCAGTTCATCCAGGGTTCAGGGACTGGCTCGGTTGTGGTGTGGGACATCAAGGTTACCGCTTTGGTTGTCTTCCCTTCGAGTTGAATCTGGCACCTTGCGTTTTCACATGCCTTATTCGGGTCGTAGTGACCCGGCTGCGTTTGCTAGGTGTTCGGGTTCTGGCCTACCTCGACGATTGGCTAATTTGGGCTCCCAGCCGGTCCGCTTGTCTGCTCGCCAGGAATTTGGTTCTTTATTAGCTCGCCGGGTTCGGATTCTTGATGAACTGGAGGAAGTCCCATCTGGTTTCCTCTCGGGTTCGGTCTTGGCTGGGTATGGTTTGGGACGCTCGCACTGCTTCCTGGTCTCTGTTGCGCCTGCGGTCCCACCTTCGCCTGATTCTGAGGGGTTTCCGGGTCACGAGGCGGCTGCTCGAGAGTTTGTGCGGGAGCCTGAACTTTGCCATGATTGTCTACCCGCAGGGTCGGCTGTTCTGGTTCCTTCGGGGACGGCCCTTCCGCCTCTCTTGCGAGGCGTTGTTGTCTTCCATTGGGTTCGGCCTCCGGGGGCTTTGCGTCGGTTGCTGCGTTACCGGCTTCCTCTTCGTTTTTTTCGGGGTTCAGTGCCTTGGTGCCTTCCCGAGCCCTCGCTTGATGTGTACACAGACGCGTTGTCTCTTGGCTGGGGTTTTGTGACCCGTGCTCATCAGGCCGGCCAGGGGCGGTGGGGTCCGTCCTTCCGTCAGGCTCACAGCACGATCCGGGAGTTCACGGCGGTGTGGATGTCGCTCCGGAGAGTTCGAGTTGTTCGTGGATCGGCGATCAGGCTCCATTCGGACTCCTCCCCGTTGGTTCCTTGCCTGAACCGCGGGGGTTCAATGTGGTCCTTGGCTCTTTGGGGCTGGTCACTTCGAGTGACTCGTCTGCTGAGTTCTCGGGGTTTGGGTCTCTTGGCGGTTCTCGTCCGGGGGTGTGCAACGTCCTGGCGGACAGCCTTTCCTGTTTCCTTCCCCTTTCCATGGAATGGACAGTCGACGTCGACTCCTTCAGTTGGCTGTGCCAGACGTTTGGGACTCCGGACGTGGATCTTTTCGCATTGCGTGGTCGAGGCGTCTCCCGGTATACGTGTCGCCCTTCCACAACTGCGAGGCCGTCAGGGTTGACGCCTTCAGGCAGGACTGGGCGAGGTGGGGTTACCTGTACCTCTTTCCCCCGGTTCCGCTGTTGCTCCAGGTTCTGACTCGCTTTGAGACTTACCAGGGGTCGAGTTGTATTTCTGGCTCCTTGGTGGCTGGCCCAGCCCTGGTTTAAGGCGCTGCTTGCTCGGTGTCCAAACCCGAGGGTCTTCCCGCGGCTCCGCCTCTTTCAGCAGATTGGTCCAGCCCTGTATGAGGCTGGTTCGGTCTTCTCGAGTCTTCACGTCTGGTGTTTTTGACTCTGGTTTATCAAACCTTGTATGGTGTGCAGGTGGCTTTGTTATTGGTCTCCCACCTACGTGCTTTGTCTCAGCGGCAGTATGAAGTTTCCTGGCGGTCCTTCCGGTTTTTCCTATCTCTGCGTCGGTATTCTTCGGTCTCTGACAGAGTTGTGCTGTCCTTTCTCTCTTGGCTGTTTCAGGACCGTCATCTTATGCCGAATACAATTGCCTTGTATCATGCGGCGTTGGTGGAGCCGCTTCAGCTTACTTTCGGTGTTGATGTTACTTCTGCCCCGTTTCGCAAGCTGTCTCGTGCGTTGTTTCACTTCCGGCCTTCTCCTGCGCCGCTTGAGCCGTCTTGGTCCTTGGACCGCGTACTCTCGTTTCTCTCTTCTCCTCAGTTTGTTGTGGCCCCATCCGTTCGGGATTGTTTTTCTAAAGCTCTTTTCCTTTTGGCATTGGCCTCTGGCGGTCGGGTTGGAGAGCTTCATGCTCTCCTCTGGCGCAGAGGTTTCTGCTTTTTTGGTTCTGGTGGTCGTTTTATTTGCTTGCAGCCGTCTTCCCTCTTTTCTGGCGAAGAATGAGACAGCTTCGTTCCGGTGGGGGCCGTGGGTAGTTGATGCTTGGTTGGTCAGGCCGGGGGTGCATCATGTGTTGTGTCCAGTTGCAGCTCTCCGCCGTTATTTGTGCGCCACGGCTTCGTTTGCCGGGGATGAGCTCTGGGTTGATCCGGTTTCTCTTCCCGGTTCCCGGGCTCAGGTCTCTCAGGTCATCCGCAGGGTTATAATGTGTAGGCAGCCTGCGTTTTTTCCCCGGGCCCACGACATTCGTAAGTTTGCTGCCTTGGCTGCCGTCTTTGCCAACATGTCTTGGATGGACATTCGGGCCCGGGGTTTTTGGAGATTGAACAGGGTCCTGACTGCTTGCTACCTGGTGAATGTTCCTGGGCCTAGGTGGGCCTGCGTTGCATTGGGTCGGTGGTTGCAGCCAGTTGTCTCGACTTCGCGTTGAGGAGTGAGGACGGACCGCCTCCCGGGTAAGTCCCTGTTTTTTCCATATCTTTGGGTAGTTAACTCCAGGGAGCCTCCGGGACTCGCCCAGAAAATGACTTTTCATTGCATTCAACGCTGGTTTTTTTATTAGTGGACAGTAAACATTTAGTGACACGAATTTCACAGTTCCTTGTAACCTTATGAATGTCCTATTTTGTAAATATTGTCAAATACACACACATGGACATGAGATAACATTAAAAGTAAATTAGGAAACAATGAAAATGCATTGAAAAGATTGAACGCAAATATATTTGTGGCAACTTTGAGTGTTGAACGACCCGTGCGAGCACTTCAGCAAGTTATCGGTCAAGTCACCCCAGCCTTGACATTTATTTATTTATTTATTTATTTATTTATTTATTTATTTATGCATATACAAGAATGTACATTGGGAATGTGAGGATACATAATATGGTAATTACAGTCTTGTAAAGCCACTAGTACGCGCAGCGTTTCGGGCAGGTCCTTAATCTAAGAAAATTTTAAGGAGGTAAATACTTGCAAGATTTGTAGACAAAAAATGATAACAGTTACATGGAATGAAAAAAAGAAGATGAGAGAAAATTGTAGGTACAGTATATTAAAGCACATAGGTAGCTAAGATTGATGGCAATGACAGCTTGAATGGTAGTTGACAAAAATTGGTAGGCACAATACAGCAGAAACAATATAAGATTGATTGCAATGACAGCTTGAATGGTAGTTGACAAAAATTGGTAGTCACAATACAGCATATGGCTAGCACATAAAAGAAGACAGCAATGAACACAATGATAAGGTTGTTTGATACTACATAAAAATTAAGAGATTGGGTAACACTAGGTACAGAGCAAATTTAAAGCTCAGTGTAGGAAACTAAGAAGATGAAATTAGGTACTTTTTGGTTTTGCTTTTAAATAAGGCAAAAGTTTTACAGTTTTTCAATTCACTAGGGAGTGAGTTCCATAGACTAGGTCCCTTAATTTGCATAGAGTGTTTACACAGATTAAGTTTGACCCTGGGGATATCAAAGAGATATTTATTTCTGGTGTGGTGATAATGGGTTCTATTACATCTGTCCAGGGAGAATTTCAGAGCATGGTTTGCATTTAAGAACAGGGTTTTGTAAATGTAGTTGACACAAGAGAATGTGTGGAGGGAGTTAATATTTAGCAAGTTTAGGGATTTAAACAAGGGAGCTGAGTGTTGTCTGAAGGCAGAGTTAGTTATTATTCTGATAGCAGATTTTTGCTGTGTGATGATGGGCTTAAGGTGGTTTGCAGTGGTAGACCCCCATGCACAGATACCATAATTAAGATAGGGGTAGATTAGTGCATAATATAGTGAGAGGAGAGCAGAGTTAGGAACATAATATCTGATTTTGGAGAGTATACCAACTGTTTTAGAGACTTTCTTAGTTATGTGTTGAATGTGGGTGCTGAAGTTGAGTCTCTTGTCTAGGAATAGGACAAGAAACTTGCCATCATTTTTATTACTGATGTTAATGTTGTCTATCTGTAGCTGAATTGCATTTGATGATTTGCTTCCAAATAAGATGTAGTAAGTCTTTTCGATGTTTAATGTTAGTTTGTTCGTTGACATCCATAAGTGGACTTTTTTAGTTCATTATTCACAACATTATTTAGTGTATGTGGGTTGAGGTCTGAATAGATAAGGGTAGTATCGTCAGCAAACAATATAGGTTTGAGAATATTAGAGACATTAGGCAGATCGTTTATATATATAAGAAATAGAAGAGCTCCTAAGATACTGCCCTGTGGCACTCCAACGGTAATTGGTAGAGTGGAAGAAGTTGTATCATTGATGGTTACATATTGGTGTCTGTCACTAAGATAGGATCGGATGTAGTCAAGGGCAAGGCCTCGGATTCCATAATGCTGGAGTTTAAGTAAGAGGTAGTTGTGACTAACAGTATCAAAGGCTTTTCTTTGGTCAATGAAGAGTCCAATCGGAAACTCATTTTTGTCAAGGGCTGAGTAGATAACGTCAAGGAGACTAATGATTGCATCGTTGGTGCTCTTTTGGGACCGGAAGCCAAACTGGCAGGGGCTGAGTATGTCGAATTTTACGAGGTAGGAATAGAGCTGTTTGTAAATAATTTTTTCAAATATTTTTGATAGAATGGGTAGATTTGATATTGGTCTATAATTGTTTATGTCCACCGGCTTGCCTCCTTTATGGACTGGCGTTACTCTTGCTTTTTTGAGGATATCAGGGAAGGTATATCGTCGGCAGGGAAGGATATCATCGGCCATCCTCTCTGCTGTACCAAAAGTAAGTGCTTGTTTTCATTGATTAATATATTTATGTGCTCAGAGCACAGATTTTTAACAATATAAGAAGAAAACAATTGGGAGAATAAGTTCTTCCTGTACACCAGGGCCTTGTTAAATTTAATAGTGGTGCAGTGCAGTGGTTAATAAATTTATGTGTAACACATGTTTTAACAATTAAAATTTTTCTATAACATTGGCCTTGAATATCTGACACTAGTACTATACTTTTAAGGAAAATATTTAATGTTTCATTTGTTTACATTATTTTTCAGTTACCTGATAAGTCCATAGCACAGTTGGTGAAATATTACTACCTGTGGAAAAAAACTCGTCAACGAAGCTCATTAATTGACAGACATGCTCGCAAACACACTGCCAAACTCCAGGTACTGGACAAGTTATATTATACGTGTACTGTGCATATATTTTGTGATTGTTGTACATTAGTTCAAGTACAGTATACTGTAGTTATATATTGGATATACTGTATGGCTAGATTGCTTGTTGTATTTTTTGTAAGAGTAATATGTTGGCTGCACAGTATTTTGATGGTATTTTTATAAAGCAAGCTACAGTACTACTAGGCCCCAAGTTGTGTTGGGTATCTATATAAAAATGATATTATATATACTGTACAATGTTATGTTTTATATTTACTGGTGTTTAATTGGTTGTGTTTTCTTCACAATTTTGTAGTGCCAATTAGTGATAGAAAGCATGTATATGATGATAGAGAATCTTGCATTTTTCTGGGGATAGGCCCTTGTGGCTCCCTAAAGCTACCATCTCCGATGTAGGTGCCATCAATCGCAGAGTTCTCTGGCCTAACAGGGACCCAGAGCCAGAACAAAGTCACTTTGGTATGCTTATAACGTTTTCAGCATCATCAAAAGAATACACGCAGTTCGGGGGATGACGCTCTCGGCGTCGTGCATTCATTTTTGTTTATTGTTATTAAGTATAAACATTGTGAGTGAAAGAGTTTTATCATTGGGTTGTGTGTTCACTGGCAATGCCCGGCCTACCTTTCAGTGCAATGCGGGTGGCCTGCTGGGCATGCGAAAGTGTCAAGTTATTCATTTATGCAACCACGCCTAGTCAGGGACTGGGCCGCGGGGACGTTGAGCCCCAAAATCAATGCAAGGTAACCAGTGAAGACACCCAGAAAGTCAGTGAGTTAAAACAAACCACATCTGGCTGCCTCTTGAGACCTGCAGTCATGAAAATGGTCATGCAACTCCCCAAACTGTATAACCAGACAATAAAAAATGTTATAAACCAATGCCTGCTCTTTTGTCCCACCCTCCCCCTCGCATGGGGGGGAGGAGGGGGCAGATCACGGCTCACAGGTTGCTCCACCATCATTTCTCTTTTGATGTGTGTTGAGATTGCCATTGTCACTCTGGCTTCAGTGTCTTCTTGGGTTTTCTAATGGAAATGCATTAGGAAGTGATGTGGTGGAGGCTGACTCCATACACAGCTTTAAATGTAGATATGATAGAGCCCAGTAGGCTCAGGAACCTGTAAATTAGTTGATTGACCGTTGAGAGGCGGGACCAAAGAGCCAGAGCTCAACCACACACACAACTTTTCCCCTTCAATGAGGGGAAGGAGAGAGGGGAGAAGGGGAAAAGCTAGGTCTGTGCAACAGATCATTACAGAACTGTGACAGGCTGTTGCCAGGACGATGGACACTCCCTGGAAATGAACAGCATGTAGAGCTAGACCCTGAGAACTCAGCAGAAGAGCCACACGAAGCAACCAGTCCCAAAGAGCCACGGACCACAGAGATGGTGCCTACCTCCCAAGCACTGTGCTGGAATTTGCAACAGTTTGGCTGTCGCTTCAGAGGGTTTGGATCGTTCGGGGCTCTACGATTCCACTCCATTCGGACTGCTCTCCTCTCCAGTGGTTAAAACGCAGAGTTGAAATGCAGGGGTTCACTCCCCGGACACATCCGGGGAGTGTCCAACGTCTTGGTGGATGGCTTGTCGCAGTTCTTTTCCCTGTCCATGGAATGGACGGTCGAAGCCGACTCCTTCAGTTGGCTCTGCTGGACGTTCGGGATTCCGGAGGTGGACCTCTTTGCATCGACATGGTGTCAGCGTCTCCCAATCTATGTGGCGCTCTTCCTCGACTGCGGTGCCATCGCAGTGGACACCTTTCAGCAGAATTGGTTGAGGTGGGGTTACCAAGACCTCTTTTCCCCGGTACAGCTATTGATTCGGGTTCTGGCTCTTTTTGGAGTCTTACCACGGGAGAGTCGTCCTTGTGGGCCCCATTGATGGCCGGCACAGCCATGGTTTCAGGCTCTGCTTGCTCGGTGTCCGAACCCGGGTCATTTTCTGCGGCTCAGCTTCCTTCAGCAGCTCGGACCGTTCCAGTACATGGCTGGTTCGGTCTTCACATCTGGTCATTTTGACGCAAGTGTATCACTACTTGTATGATCAGGCGCCTTCATTGATGGTGTCCCACCTGTGAGCTTGAGTCTTGGTGACAGTATGAAGTTTCCTAGCGTTCTTTTCGCCATTTCCTCTCTCTTTTTGTTGGTTGTCTTCTATTTCTGTTTAGATTATTTTGTCCTTTCTATGTTGGCTCTTTCAGGACTGTCATTTGATGTCCAATACTGTCACCTCTTGTCGTGAGGCGCTGACTCCAACTTGCGTTCGGGGTGGGTGTCACTTCCATTCCGTTCCGTAAACTTTCTCATGCTTTGTTTCACCTCTTGCCTGCTCATGCATCGCCTAAGCCGTCCTGGTCCTTGGACTGGGTGCTCTCTTTTCTCTCTTTTTCCTTGGTTTGTTGTTGCCCCTTCGGTTCAAGATTGTTTTTCCAAGGATCTGTTTCTGCTGACATTGGCCTCTGGGTGTTGGGTTGGTGAGCTTCACGCTCTCCTCCAGCATAGGGGTTTCTGCTCTTTCGGTCCTGGTGGTCGGTTTGTTCGGTGGCAGCCGTCTCCTTCCTTTCTGCCGAAGAGCGAGATGGCGGGCTTCCAGAGGGGACCTTGGTGCTTGGTTGGTTGGGCTGGGGTAGCATCATGTGTTGTGTCCTGCTGCGGCTTTATGCTGTTACCTGTGTGCCTCGGCTTCTGTGGCTGGGGATGTGCTTTGGGTTGATCCAATTTCCCTTGTTCTCTTTTCCAGGGCTCGGGTCTCGCAGGTTATCCGCAGGGTTATTAGGTCTAGCCAGCCTGCAGCCTATCCTCGTGTCCATGGTGTTCATAAGTACAGTATGCTGCTTTGGCTGCCGTGTTTGGCTACATGTCTTGGGCTGACATTCAGGCACGGGGCCTATGGAGGTTGAACGGGGTTCTGGCTGCCTGTTGGCAGTCCCGGTCGTTCGTGTATGGCTTTGGGTTACAGGTTGCAGGCAGTTGTCTCATTTTCAAGTTGATGTGCACATTGTGGCTGCCTGCCGAGTAAGTCCCTCTTTTACTTGTCTTTGGATATGTAGCCCCTGGGAGCCAGAGGAGCTCCCCATAGAAAACCAGTGTTGAATGTAATGACTCCATTTTCTGGGTGAGCCCTGGAGTCTCCCTGGCACCCTCTCTCCCTCTCTTTGGTCAGCGGTTTCGTTTTTGATGCTCGGCCTCCGAACTGAGGTGTGAGCAGCCGTCGCGGGGGTCCAGAGCTCCCCCATCCCCCTCCCGGGAAGGGGTGGGCTGCGCGGATAAGTAGCGCGGCAATTGTGAATGACGTTTGCTTCTTTGCTTGTTTCCGTATGTTTTGGTGGAAGTTCTGTCTCTCGGTTCGGTCTTCAGTTGCAATTTCTTACCAAGTTGGGTTTGTTTTGTTATTCCTACCTTTCTGGGTGCCAAACCCTGGTCGATAACAGACATGGAATGCTACCATGGGGTTTCCATAAGCCATTGCTCCCTGTGCCTCTCTGAAGGAGTCTGGTTCTGGCTCGTGATCCCTGGTAGGCAGAACTCCATTGATACCCTAGACTAATATAGCGTATATCAGTCCGATAGCTCCAGGGAACCTCCGGGGCTCGCCCAGAAAATGGCGTTTCATTACATTCAACGCTAGTTTTTTTTTTTTGTAAGGTTTTATTCACCCACTTTCTAAAGAAATAAACTTTGAGTCCCTTAGGAAGTGTAGTTATTATTAATCTCTTCAAAGAACATTTTAAAAGTTTGGAGTTGTTGGATTTACAAAGAGGTTTTCTATCTAAATTTGTGCATTGGAATAGAAATGTGGATAGGAAGAAGGACAGTTATTAAGGCTTAGCTGAAAAACTAGTTTTGACCTTTATTCTTAACCAGAAATATTAGCCCATAGCTTTAGTCTTAGCTCTCTTTCCATATATGTCTCAGCCCTTTTTTTTTTATATCAAACTTTACAGCAAGTTACTGAAGGTGGTGTCGGAGACAGTAGTGGAGATAGGTCCGAAGAGGACGAGGAAGGGAAGAATGGGGAGGAGACGAAGACCTGCTCTAACTGCACCATCCCAGCATCAGTGCTTAATGAATCCCCTAAGGGTCTACAGTGCCTCACATGCTACAACCACTGGAAGTAAGCTTCATTTATACAAATATATTTCATATTATCCAGAAATTTTATTCTTTTAACTTTAGTAATTTTGTAAAAAGTTCATTGATGCTTGTTTTAATAGTACAAGGAAATGTACATTTTAAGTTGATTTGATTTAGCAAAATGTTAATATAAGTTCAATATATTTCATGGTTACTTTTTATACAGTTAACACTGAAAGAAAATTACAGTAATTGTCAAGTGAATAGATTGGGATTTTACAGAAAAATGGGTTGTTTAAGACCTACTGTGGGACCTATGAAGAGAGACAAGCAGCTAATAAAACACAAGCGACGCCCCCCTCGTGGCATGCACATCAACCATGAAGTAAGTGCCCAGTGGCCTTCTTGTTATAGTATACACACACCGACTCTCTTGTTGTAGTGTACACACCGACTCTCTTGTTGTAGTGTACACACCGACTCTCTTGTTGTAGTGTACACACCGACTCTCTTGTTGTAGTGTACACACCGACTCTCTTGTTGTAGTGTACACACCGACTCTCTTGTTGTAGTGTACACACCGACTCTCTTGTTGTAGTGTACACACCGACTTTCTTGTTGTAGTGTACACACCAACTTTCTTGTTGTAGTGTACACACCGACTTTCTTGTTGTAGTGTACACACCGGCCTCCTTGTTATAGTGTACACACCGGCCTCCTTGTTGTAGTGTACACACCGACTTTCTTGTTGTAGTGTACACACCGACTTTCTTGTTGTAGTGTACACACCGACTTTCTTGTTGTAGTGTACACACCGACTTTCTTGTTGTAGTGTACACACCGACTTTCTTGTTGTAGTGTACACACCGACTTCCTTGTTGTAGTGTACACACCGACTTTCTTGTTGTAGTGTACACACCGACTTCCTTGTTGTAGTGTACACACCGACTTTCTTGTTGTAGTGTACACACCGACTTTCTTGTTGTAGTGTACACACCGACTTTCTTGTTGTAGTGTACACACCGACTTCCTTGTTGTAGTGTACACACCGACTTTCTTGTTGTAGTGTACACACCGACTTCCTTGTTGTAGTGTACATACACCGACTTTCTTGTTGTAGTGTACACACACCAGCCTCCTTGTTGTACACAGTGGCCTTTTTGTTGTAGTGTACACAGTGGTCTTATTGTTAAAGTGTACACAGGGTTATCACAACTGAGTAACTCTGAAAATGCTTGATTTAAAAACACTTAATGGCTGGGTTAGGGAGGGAGTTAATTTTTATAAATACTCTAATATGTGATGCTTTGGGGAAACTATTAAATTTAATTTATGCAGCTAATTTCAAACCATTTTTGGATACATTCATGCAAACTTAGGAGTCTTCTGGGAGGGGCTCTCTGGCTGGTTGTCTCGAACACAATGAGGGACATTTCAGAGGCATTTCATGACATGTTACACTGAATTGTTTTGGGAGAATTGGGCTTCCACCTTATGAGTTAACCAATACTTTAGAAAAGAAGGAAAATGCCAACTTTGAGTTGGTGAATTAACAGCTTTTTACACGATAAATCATCTCGTTATCAATTATTTTATTAATGTAATATTTTATGTATTTTAAGATTTTCTTTCTTGTGGATGGATATATTTGTAGCAAATTATCATTCTGGAAGCATTCAAGTGTAGTGTACTAGACTGTCTTAAAATATAACCACCCCACTCCCCAAATACATAAAAAAAATTCCCCTTTCTAAAATGAATGGCAATGGTGTGACATTCTTCAGTATGGTATATGAACGAGATGGGGAACCCGACAGTGCACAGGTCTCTGCCTGGCTCTGACTGCCTTTCCCTCCCATTTTCCTACTCTCTCCCTCCCTTCCTCTTATAGTTCAACCTTCCAATTAATTTAATCAATATCTGAATTCACTATTATTTTAAATACAGTGGAACCTCGAATAACGAATTTAATCCGTTCTGGCGCCTTGATCGTCATGTGAAACAGATTTCCCCATTGACAATAATGGAAATCAAATTAATCCGTTCTACCACCGAAAAACATCAATATGATATTCGATGTTTTAAATAATGGAGCAGCCTACCTTACATACACTGAACAAACCCTTATGACATTTTTCTTACTTCAAATTTGTTCAATATTTTTTTTCATTTATAGCAAACGGTTCATTCGATGTTCAGTAGGTAGGCTGCTCCACGTTTCTTAAATAAAACAAAAACTTTTTTAAATAAAAAAAAAATGAAAATAAAAAAGTTGAAACAAACTGAAAAAAAGGACAAAGGCAATAAAGGTTTGTTCAGTGTTTGTCGGGTAGGCTGCTCCATTATGACAATCTTTCTTTGCTTCAAATGTGTTCCATTTATTGTGTGTGTTTCATTTATGTCTCAATAATGGAGCAGCCTACCTGACAAACACTGAATGAACCTTTATGGTATTTGTCCGTTTTTCAAATTGTTTCAACTTTTTTATTTTTTATTTATTTGTTTTTATTTAAGAAACATGGAGCAGCCTACCTGCAGAACACTGAACGAACCTTTTTGACATTTGTTGTTTTTCACAAAATTTCATTTCTTTTCTCTACAAAAAAGTCAATGCTTTGCAACATCACAGCAATCACCCCTTTATATCCCAGCATCATTAAAAAAAAAATTATTTGCTTCGTCAGAGGCGTCCGAGAATGTGCGAGAAGCAGCGCGACCCCACCTTGTGGTGTAGACGTTTTTCAAATGAGCGCTTGCCATAAGAGATGAATTGTCGGCGATCTGGGCGCTCGTTACTCAAAATGCTCGCCAATTGAGGCGTTTGTCACTTGAGGTTCTACTGTAATGCTAAAGTAGACGATGAGTTACGATGATGTGGCTGATGATATGATGACCAAACCACACATAATAAGATGGAGACAACTACGAAGCAACTTTGTTTCTCAATCTTCTGATGTGTGGATTGGTCATCGTAATGCTGATGTCTATGAACTTGGGGCAGAACATTTTACATTCACAGACTTTGTGAAGGAGGGGTATTGGGTCTGTTTGGGGAAGCACTAGGACGACCCCAGTTACTCTGTGACACCCGGTAAAATCAACTTTAATCCTGCAAAGCTTAATGTGTATCAAGTATGTGTTAAGCTTGTATGAGCCCCACTTGTTATTCAGTGTGACACAAGAATGTTTTAGGATTTAAATAAATATCTGTACCCAGGATATGCCACGAGAGTTGCTGGGTGATGGATGGTCATGGGAACAAGATCTAGGGGTGGTTTTGGATACTAACTGTCACCAAAGGAACACACACAAAGAACATTGTGTCAAGCGCGTATATGTCGTTTTCCATCTTTAGCCTCGCTCTTAACTACATGGATACTGAAATACTAAAGAAACTGTTCATGACTCTCTTGAGACCAAGATTGAAATACGCAGCAGGTGTATGGTGCCAGAATCTCAAGAAGCACATCAATAAACTGGAAAAGATGGAACGGCATGCTACAAAATGACTTAGAGAACTGAAAAACAAGAGTTACGAGGAGTGGTAGAGGCCTTAAATATGCCAAAGATAGAAAATAGAAGAAAAAGGGATGGTATGATCACCACTTACAAAGTAATAATAGGAATTGACCAAATTGACACAGACGAATTCCTGAAACCCGCAATTTTAAGAATAAGAGGACGCAAATTCAAGCTAAGGAAACAAAGGAGCGGAAAAATATTAGCGAGTTTTCTTTTGCAAACAGAGTGGTAGACGGTTTGCATAAGTTAAGTCAGTTCCAAATATGCAATAAATGAAAACTGGTTCGATTTCAATCAAACTTTTTTGACGTGTTGTATATGAAAAGGGTTTCATCTGGTCCAAGTCTTAGCATCGTAGCGTAAATAGGAAGGGAGAAAGAAAATATTGAATTGTCAAAAATTTTCCAAAATGGTCAAAAAGATTATCAAACGCATGTGTCAACTGAAATCATGTCTATGACTCAGCTATCACAATAGCATATATTAAAAATATATATAATTAGTTTTATAAAAAAAATTAAGTTGAAAAAAAATAATTTTTTTTGTTTTTCTTTCTTAAATTTTATTTTTCTTATTTGTTTATCGGACGATTTGCATGAAACTTATACATCTGACTGCATGTAAGCCTATCTGTAAGGATGCCAAGGGGGGGGGGGGTCAGGAAATTGGTTGATGTCACCCTCAGTCACAGATGGCAGCACCTTAGACTTTATTATTTTCTTATAAGAATTTTTGTTACTTGAAAATAAATAACTCTTTCATTTTTTATTCAATTTACATGAAACTTACACCTTATATGTAGAGTGTATGCCTCTAAAATCTGGCACAAGTTTTGCTTCCTAAGTTCATATATTGATTTTATTATAGCAATAAACATGATATATTTGCATAATTTTTGGGGGGAACTTTGACTATTTGCTTTAGGAAAACTAAAAATGTTTTGGAAAATCCCTTCCTAAAGATCCTTTATTATATGCTAATGTGACAGAAAAGTGTCATAGAATGATTATATCTGAAAGGTGTGGTTGTTGATAAAAACTTGAAAATGTGTAATATTCGTTCAAAAAAAAAAAAATAAATAAAAATCTTCCTTTCTATTTAGGCTGCAGTACTGAAACTTGGAACAATTACAGCCCTTTTCATATACAACTAGTCAAAAAATATTGGTTGACATTGAACAACTTTTAAAAAACTAATCTCATGGCCCCTGTAAGTTAAGAAGGTGGTGGAGATAAAAACCGTCAGCAGTTTCAAAGCGTTATATGACAAAGAGTACTGGGAAGACAGGACACCACGAGCGTAGCTCTCATCCTGTAACTACACTTAGGTAATTGCGCACACACACACAGAGGAGAGGTTATCTTGAGACGATTTTGGGGCTTTAGCGTCCCCGTGGCCCGGTCGTCGACCAGGCCTCCACCCCCAGGTAGCAGCCTGTAGCAGCTGTCTAACTGCCAGGTACCTATTTACTGCTAGGTAACAGGGGCATTAGGGTGAAAGAAACATTTTGCCCATTTGTCTTCGCCTCCGTCGGGGATCGAACGCGGAATCAACTATGAATCCAAAGCACTGTCCACCCAGCGGTCAGGCGCCCTGCGAAACAAATGTAAAACAGATCCAAGCCTTTTCTATAAATTCATTTAAAGCAAGCTGCATGTAAATGATAAAATTCAGAGATTGAGAATGGGCAACAAATTCATAGAGAATGAAAAAGAAATGTGTGAAAGATTAAAGGAACAGTTTGAAAATGTGTTTGTGCAAAATGAGATTTTCAGAGACCAGATTCAATACCAGTTCCAGTGAACACCATAGAATACATTGAGATATCTCAAGGCAAAGTGGAAAAATTACTGAAGGGGCTAG